GTTCGTCTCGTCTGTGCCTTAGTTACGGGAGCTGGAGGACAAGTATGCGGAGTGCATGGAGATGCTTCACGAGGCGCAGGAGGAGCTCAAGAACCTGCGGAACAAGACGGTGCCCAGCAGCACCCCGCGCCGCTTCCATGCGCTCGGCCTGTTCCCTATGGTAGGCACAGTAGGCCTTGGCGTCTCTGTCCCGGGAAGCTCCCGTGGAGCCTTGCCATTAGTCTTCCTTACCTGTGCATCGCATCGTAATGGACGAGAAGGGACATAGGAAGAGCTAGAAACAAGAGGAGGCCATTCGGTCGAGCTGTCTTGTGTGGTAGTAAGTAGCCATTCGATCTGAGGACTTGAAACGAGCCAGGGTATCCACCTCAAAAACCAGAGATACAGCAAATAGGACTTTTCCTAACGGTCTCTTACAGTGGATGACACAGGGTATTCTCTTCATTATGGATAGAGCTGCTTATTGATCCCCCCAGAGCCTGGTTAGGTTACAGCGATTACAGCTGTGCAGCTAAATGAATGAGTAGACTGGCTATGTAATGGGGGACATGGGTTCCAACAACAGCTGGTTTGGTCCCAGAAGCTTTACCTGGATGCATGTGAAATGTCTCCTTGTAAGAAAAATGTCTTTAAATCGGCTTGCTCTGAATTTAATCTTAACTGCTTCATTATTCTCAAACTCATGTGAGTCAGCACATTGTCTAAATATAGTTTTATTTTTGACTCAAGACCACAGCATTGAGCAAATTCGAGAACTGTGATACTCCGGATGAACCAATAATAATCTGGAGTTTTTGATGTCTGGAAAGAAGGGATTGTGACACTAAACCATCACGGGCTTAACCTCCGCTTCTGCTGTCTCGAGGACTCCCTGGCGGCAGAGATCGAGGGCACCATGCGGAAGGAGCTGCACATGGAAGACCCCGAAATGGAGGAGCACAAGTGGGTTTCGGAACAGCCGATCCGCTGTCTTAGCAGGAAAGCCGACAGTTTGTGGTCGTCAAACACGGAGCTTAGAGAGCTCCCGGGCTGAGACCGGAGCCGGAGACCTCTGGAAATTTAGAATCCCAAGTTTCAATTTGTGTCAAATGTAGATGTTCCAATATATACGTTCTGCTTGAGTACAAAACTGAATATATTGCCTGTTTAGGAAGGCAAGCAGGTACTTCCTAGGCTATTTTGGCATCAGAAGATTGCATGTGATGTCTACACATGTCTGTTGTTTAGCACGGCTTAGAATGTCAGGATTTTCTGGTGAGTGTCTGTGCGCCCAGCGATGGACTGCCGTCCCGCCCAGGGTGTACCGTGCCTCGCGTCCCCTCCTTGCCGGGACCGGCCCTGGCTCCCCCGCGGGTGGAAAGTGGACGGAGGGGGCCGACAGGGGGTGACGTGTCTGCGCTCCTCTGCCCCCGCCCCCAGGCTGCACCACAAGCGCGTGTTCGAGACCGTGAAGAACATCAACCAGACGGCGAAGCAGAGGTCCCTGCTCCCGTCGCCCATGAACATCCCGGGCTCCAACCAGTCCTCGGCCCTGTCCAGCTGCAGGAGCACGCCCCGCTCCAGCTTCTACGGCAGCGACGTCAGCAACATCGTCATCGACAACAGAACCAACAGCATCATCCTGGAGACAGAGTCCCCGGAAGGCAGGTGGGTGGCCTAGTCTTCAACTTGCAGGAGACCAGGAAAGTTGGGTAGAAAACAAATATCAATGCCCTGGGGCACCCTGTGGCTTCAGGGTATTGCTGACCAACATTTGATTAGTGAAATCTTGATGAACTAAGCTCATTGAATGCTTACTGGACTGGCTGTTTAATTATTAACGGTTTTCTGCACTGACAGTTAGGTTCAATTCGTTGCTTTTTTCCTTTGGCAGTAGATTGTGTGTCAGTTAATGATGTATATACTGTAAATGCAGGACTTGTACATGTATTATACATGTATGGCACTTCATCACTCACCCGTATTATAAGACTTTAAGTGATTTATAGAACTGTTTTAATTAATTTAATTTAAGCTTCATTCATGAAGAGTTCTGTTGGGTTAGAAACCAGGAAACAGAGGATTACTCCAAGACAGGGAGATACTGCTGTGAGTACGATAAAACTTTAAACGGGTGATATGCAGAGGTCACGGCATCATTGCAAATGGCGCATGTAAAAGCTTCATGAAGACGTTGCATTAGCCGTGTCCAAGAGGGAACCTCAGTTCTCAGAAGCGGCAATTCTGGATTTACCCCAGTGAAACGCGCGTTCGTTTGTAACCTGCCGCGAGTTCGGTGCGAGACCCCGTGACGATGCGCTTGGCGACGGGCTGACCCGGCTCTGTCTGCGGCGTTCCCCAGCAGCGACGGCGACGCCAACAAGAAGCCGGGCACCCCGGGGACGCCGGGCTCCCGCGACCTGGAGGTGGCGCTGCGCCGGCTGTCGCTGCGGCGGGAGAACTACCTGAGCGAGCGGCGCTTCTTCGAGGAGGAGCGTGAGAGGAAGCTGCGCGACCTGGCCGACGGGGGCGAGCTCCACAGCGGCAGCCTCACCCCCGCCGAGAGCATCATGTCGCTGGGCACGCACCACTCCGGCCTGTCCGTCTTCTCCTTCGGCAGCCGCTCCTACCTGCCCGAGAAGCTCCAGATCGTCAAGCCGCTCGAAGGTGACCGGGCGGGGCCCAGGCCTCTCTCTCTCCTCCTCTTTGACTCCCTCTGGTCCCTGGTGCATCACAAGGGCTCTGGTAGCCTCTCCACTCAGTACTCCTTTTATTTCCGCGATAGTCAGCCGCGCTGCTGGTTTGAGAGCCCGTGAAGCAAAGGTGCTGCCTTTCGCACAGCTGGATACTGACACATAATTGCAGCATACTGTGTGAATGATCTTCCCCTGCCTCGAGTCAGGCGAACGGAAGCGGAGCATAGTGTAGCGATCGCAACGTTTCAGATGGGGTGACCTTCGCATGGATCCCGGCACCTGAGGGTTAATCTTAAAATAATTGCCTGTAGTAGCTATCATCTCCATTGTTGTTGGGATTCGGCCTATAAAGAGCCACACTTCCTGTGGAAATAGCCGTATCTCCGAAAGTAATATCCGTGTTCCAGTTGCAGGGCCAGCTTGCGTCTTTGAAACTTTGAGAGAGTGTTAACATGGGGCTAATCTTCCTCACACAGTATGAACACTAGAGAAAAGGGCTGCGATGTTGCACCAAAGATGAATTTGCACCAAGCTGTGGGGTTTTGCCTCCAGGCGTTTACTGTTGGATTTCAGCACATTGAGAAAATGTCACTCATTCTTTGAAGCAAAAATGGACAGGCAGGAAAAAAATAAAATCCTAAAATATTACTTTAAGAGACCAAGATTAAAACATTTTAGCCTGAAGTATTTTCTTTCTTTGGTTTGGAGTTAAAAATGAAAGTTTGATATACAGTTCATTCAGGCTTTTACTGTCTTTTGCTATATTGTTTTTTAAATGTGTATTATACCCCCTTACCTCTGTTGTTTCTGCTCTAGAGACATAAATGCGAAACCAAGAACCCTATATTACATAAATGAGATAAGTATTAGACTTTAATAAAAATAACATAGTTAATCAAATTAATCTAAGCACTTGATAACATAAAAAGTAATAAAGTATATTTTTAAAGAATTTAGAAATGCACTTTAAATGTTAACGGCAAGGCAGATTTATATATTAACACCCAGACATCCATTTTAAGTATGTATGTTCCTCATTTTTAGAAAACATCCAAGGCCATTTACTTCATACAGGGATGTCTTTTGGACAGGGAACGTTGTGCATGCATTTAAATATGCTAGTATATTTTACACTACTTACAATGAGTGTTATTATGTTACTTTTAATTAGTACAGATAATAGTGAAATTTGTTAATACTTTAGAATATACAATTTCAAGTCTAAACAGAGTCACTAGTTGATAGTCTCATTAATTATTTATTTACTATATATACACAGTATTAGTTCCCAAATGAGCATTCATTCTAGTCTTGATCGAACATTAAGCCAAAGATGTTTTAAAGGTTTCACGCATCTCGTTGTGTAGGTGCTCTAAAGGTTAGGTATCTGTGTGAATACATTAACGCCAGGGCTGTTTCTGCGAACTTTCTGATTCCTTTTCATCTTGCTTTCAATTTGTTTCTGGTCTGTACTTCCATTATCAGTTCTTCATTTTTCTTTTTTCCTTTACATCTTTGATTGGTTTTCTTGTGCTGCCATCCAGCATTTGTTTTTATATACATCTTCAATAAAATCTGCTAATTTTCATAACTGTCCTTCCAGTTTCTTTTTGTCTTTCTCTTTGATTTAATGTCTTCTCTTGTACCTAACCTTTGAGTGCAACACCTGTATAGTAGATCACAGAATAATGACGACAGCTTATTTGCAATATATTGATGACAATATTCTTCCTTGGACTTGAAATTTGTGTTTCTTCCAGCATTTTGCAATGTACAGTGTTTTCTCTCTGTGATGTTTGTCGGGCAGAAATGTTAAAAGAATAAGATTAATCACCATGAGCCCATTATTTCATATGATTTAGCATAATTGGATTAGAAACACATAATAGCCAAATATAAAACTTAGGCAAATCTTAGGTAAAACAACTAACATTTTGTTTACATTTTAGGTATACCTTTTAACTCCTTTCAGGTAATTTTCGGATAACTTGAGCATGGAATTTATTTTAAAATCTTTTCATTCAGATTCTAAATTTTCCACTATTATAAGTACCTCATAAATGTGCCTACCATTTTCTGACCTGGTATTGTCATTATACAACTATTTAAATATCATATGTTAATCATGCCAACCTTAATACTGCAGAATATATCTAAATATTTTTTCTGGGTGTCAAACACATGCTGTACACTTAAGGATATATAAAATGGTTAGGATAAAATTAAAGTGTTCTAATCCAAATAACAGGAATGATGAAAAGCAAAGTTTGCACAAGCTGAAAGGTTATTCCCTGGTACAGTATCTTGTGTGCTGTATACTGTATGTGTTTGCATGTATTCTGATTTATTTGGCTGCTGCTGTGATACAAGGCGACCTATGCTTATTTGTACAGCTGGGTTTTGTATTGAAGTTGTTAAATGTGGCTCCTGGAGCTTTTCCCATACCTTTCCAGCTTTTCATAAAAACGACCTTTTGTCCTTCAAAGTGAATTTGTCAGTTAGCGTCGACACATTTTCTCTCTTTTGCACATATGCATGCTGTGGAAATTGGCTGACTACACAATTCACATCCGACACGTAGCGCAGGAAGTGGGTATGTGCTATGCGTAGAATTGCACAGACCTGACTTTCTGTAAAATGTCCAGCGTCCGTTTAACATGAATATCTCTTTATTCGAGTAGAGGCTGCCGATGGCTTACACGAGCAATTCCGCGTGTTCAGCTTTGTACTGGGGGAAAAGGTCTTCCTCCTCTGCTGTTTGTAGGGAGCTGATAGGGGTGATAAAGTGAGCAGTCTCTTTGCGCTGTGCGTCTAAAGGTAGCAGGGACTAACTAGCAAGCTGAGCTGGGCATGGGAGTGCCTTGGCCTCACTTACTAGCAGAACGATCGTTTTAGTGACACCAGACAGGCCCGCCGGAGTCACAGTGCTGCTGTGGAGAGGTCGGAGGTCAGAGGCCACGGGGAAGGTCGCACCTAACGCTCTGTTTCTCTGTCCCGTGTGGCCCCTTGTGGCGAAGGCTCTGCCACCCTGCACCACTGGCAGCAGCTGGCCCAGCCCAATCTGGGAGGGATCTTGGACTCCAGGCCTGGCGTGGTCACCAAGGGCTTCAGGCCACTGGAGCTGGACCTGGAAGAGGTCTACCAGTTCACAGACTTTGAGGAGGACGAGCCAGGTGACCTTTCTTTCCAGAGCCTTTCTACCTCAAGCCCCGCCCCTCCGCACGCCGAGGCCTCAGGTGAGAGGCCGCGGGGGCCGCGGGTCACTGGCACAGACAGCGGCGCCCCCCCCAGCCAGCCCCCGCCCACGGCCACGGAGACCCCGGAGCAGAAGGCTGCCGGTGATGAGGCGTCTGGTGAGGGAGCCTCCGGATTGGGACGTCTGACAGGATGCTGAATACTGGGGCATTCGTTCACCCTTCTCATCCCCGCCACTGACTCCACCACCATAGCGAAACGCTCGCGCCCCACGGCCGCGTGCTGCGCCTTTCTTTGAGTACATCTCCTTTTTTTTTAACTTGTTTTTTTAGTTTTTAATCTTTTGACCTGATCCGCCCTGGGAGCTGCTACGGTGTGCCAGCAAAGTGAGAAAAATAGAAAGGATTTTTCGTGCGTCGATGCTGCTCAACAAAAGAGACCACGAGGCAAAACGATTGGGGCCCTGGCTTTGCTCCAGCTGTCGGACTGCGGTTCAGTCCAGTTCAATACATCACTAAACATATCATTTAGATTAGTGTTTTCAGCGGAAGTTTTCACTTTTGTGCCTGCTGATTCTTAGTGGAACACAGCGTAGGGCATGTATCCTTGACTTTTGTTAATGTCTTTCTTCATAAATATAAAACTAAATAGAAAATTTGATGAGTTCTGAAAAGGCATTTTTAGTTAAAACTAATAATTGGAACAAAAATGCTGTTTTTTGTAACAACAAAAATATTTTCCAATTAGGTGATCTTTATAGACATTCTTACAACTCTTAATTAAAATTGAATACGTTACTTGAAGAAATGAATGATTATTTAGTTCTTAAGTTTAACACAGAAGGGCCTATTTTTGTGGTATCTGTTTAGTACAGTTTTCACAGCTTTTTTTTATTTATGTTTTTTTTCCACAGTTTTGATTTTAATTGGCATTTTCTTAAGCCTTTGGTAGCCTCATTTGACTGTAATCACAGAAGAAAAAATTATTGGTATAATATTACATTTTTATTTTACCTATTTTTGTCACCTTTCTGCATACAGTAGCGCTCATTTATTAATTACCCAGATTATTTTCTCATCCAAATTTGATTTCACCATCCTGTCACAATCATTTCTTAATTCTTTTTAGTCCTTCGTTTCATAAATTGCTCTCTAACCAATCATTTCTAAATTTTGCATCTCGGGTAGCTTTCCTTTTGGAGCTTTGGGAAATCCAGTATCACAAAATTCCTAATTTTCAAGGCATGAATAAGAGATGTAGCACCGAAATGGAAGCACAGCAGCTTTTACTGAGGGCAGCATTGTGGTGGTTTAATTTTAGCTCAGCTGTCTTGGCTGGGGTTATCACTGGAGTGGTACATTTGTGCTCATAATAGACTTACGTGTCGCTAATTTTACAATGGAGTACATCGTAGTTGGAAAGAAAACCTATTATTATCCAGATTCTTTGTTTCGGTATTGTTTCATACTCAAAATCGAGTCAAGAGCTTCGGTCTCGGGCTCCCAGCTCACTCGGCTGGTCACGATGCTCGTCCTGAGCACTGCCTGAGCTCTGGGATGCACATCTCGAGTCCCCGCCTGTCTCCAGCTTCCTGTAATCGGGGCTCCCTGACAGAATCCATGAGTTCAGTCGGGACTCGGATTACACTACAGACCTCCCTGTCCAGCTTTCAGTCCCACAAACAAATTCTGTATAGCACGGCCTGTTAGAACACAAAGTGAAATCTGACTGCACTTTCTATTCTAATACTTAATACTTGTATGCTACTGCTTAAAATATAGTAGAGTATATTTTAATACATGCCTGAAATATTAGGTAATCTTGTGCTCTAATTGCCTTAAAACTAATCTGCAAACTTGTCCTCTTTCTGTTTACTAAATTTTCCCTGTAAAGCTGCATCATTCAGCTATAAGTATAGCTCTTTTGCATGTGGAGGAACAGTAATAGAGAGAGATATATTTTGGACAATAGGATTTTAGATTTGTTTTCTGTATACAGGGCCTTGCAAAAGCATTCAGGCCCTTCCTATGGTGTCCCATTTTTTTAAATGAAAAAAACATGCTTTCATTATTTTAGTCACATCTCAGGTTCGATTACTAAGTGCAGAACAGTACATTTCAGCAAAAACTAAAGAAAGGATTTCAATTTGTGTTGATTGTGTACTGTACATACTCAGACCTGCAAACTCAGTATTTGATGGAAGCACTTTTGTCAGAAATTAGTCGCATGTGTTTTGGTCAAGCCTCTGCTTCACACACTGGCTTGATGCAGTTTTTGCCAGGATTCTGTTGGGCAGGACAATTGATAACGCCTCAAATTCCTTCGGGATTAATAAAGTCTTATCTTATTCACTTTCCTCATTTAAAGTTGAAAGTGTCAGGTCTGCAAGCTTTAAAACAACCAAATGTGAAATTGAGCAGAGGTCTGAATATTTTTACAAGGCACTGTATTTAATATATACTCGCCTGTCATGTATATGTATTATAACCAGGGACCTTATAGGCTGTTAAGTTCTGTTTTATGTCAGAAGTTATCAGATGGTTTTCTGTTAAATGCTTCAGTAACACGTATTGCATGATGCAGCTTTAAGTGTCTCAGTTTGTCTGACTGCTGTGTTCTTGTGTTTCTCAGAACTGTTTCTCTCCACTGTGTTTCAGTTCACTACCCTGGTAAATGTATGTCGCACACCAACTCCACATACACCTTCACCACCTGCCGTATCCTGCACCCCTCCGACGAGCTCACCAGAGTCACGCCAAGGTAAGGCTCTTTCCACAACTCCCCAGTAAAACCAGCAGTCCCAGTTTACAGGTTACTTACTATCCATCTTCAGCACAAGCTGCCCTGTCAGGTTGCGACACAGAGCATCAGATACTTTCCATTTAGTCCCTGTTAAACATTTTCTGCATCAGTCGCAACAGATTCAGTTGTCTTTAGGAAGGACTCTGGGGTTTCTAAATCGGCTGCCCCAGACTGGCAGTAAGCGTAACATTTGTGATCTTGGTCTTTGGTGAAATCCATCCCTTGCTGCCTGCGAATCTTTGTGTGTAAAGAGACTAAGGAAGTAACTTTTTCCGTCCTTTTTATTTTCAGCCTTTGGCAATCGTTATGGAGACACTAAATCATCCAAGTAGATTAAGACGCAAAAAGGACTTGCATTAGAGTAGGGAGAGCCAAACTTGGTACAAACTACCAGGTCTCACGGGTCACCTGTAAATCACTGCTTCATTAAGACTTGGAAAACACGTGATTTATGACCGGTTTATGAATCTAATTGATTCAGCTGAGTCAGTAAATGACCAGCATTTCATATTTTTTTAAAAATTTCTTAAATGTGCCATTCACCTGCTTAATTCTCAAAGAAAAATTCAAAATCCAAGTATATTTGGAACTGGTGACTTAAATTTGGCCCATGTAACCTGCTTGAGGCTTCCCAGGATCAAGGCTATGCTGTATGAATAACAAGGGCTATTTTTAAGCACATGACAGCAATTTGATAATCAGTTTACTAATTTATTCATATAACCACTGCAAAGGTAAATACGGTGATAACATTCCTTAAATCCTTTGAATACCACAAGAATTATCTTAATGCCAATGACTTCTTTCCAGGTCTTGTGATGAGGAGGACGACACAGCACTGTATCATGTTGTACTGAGGGCTGGTTTAGAACAGCCACACTGACTCATCCTGTTGTGGGGTGAGAAACTCTGTCACATGGCCTGACACTGGTGGGGTTGCGTTAAACCGAGAGGAATGCCAGTCTGTGAAACACGCTAACATCGTACAATGTCTTATCCTTCTAACATCCCAACAGTCCCCAGTCCTTCAAAGAATTCAGTACTCCTAACCTAAACTTTCATTTAGATTAGAGACTTTGTACTTCATAGCCAAGTGGATTACAGACTGAGAATCAGAACCATCATTTCCTCATGGGGAAGGAAACACTGATCATAAAAATATCTGTCTGCAGTGCATGTGTCTGTGCTTGTTTAGCAAGTACCTCAAGGTATCCAGGATGAGTGGTCAAGTAGAAACCACATCTCTGATTGACTGGTCTAGTGTCAATAATGATAAAGTTAATAAAGTATCGACAGTCTGTTTTTCTTCTTCACCAATTAAAATGGCTGTAATTAATTTGTGGGTAAATACAGTATGTTGCAGCTGAGTTCAGCTGCGTTTTTTAAAGCACTTTTCAGTCAATGAAGTTGTAAAGAGCTGATGCTTTAACAAATTCCTTCAAATAACTGTGTTTACGTGTAGTGCAATTCTACATGTATCAGTGATATACAGGTGAAGGAATTTTTAATTCCATGTAGAGTTGTCAAAATGCATATGATGTGTTAAAGGCTTGTGGTTATCTCTTATACCTTTACTAATCAATTAATATGCATGCTGTTTATCAGAGCAAAACGGTTTCAGCTTTGTGTGAAAGATTACTTCTACAATTAGTTCAGTTTAAGCACACAAATGCAGTACCTGCCTGATATTTTTGTTTATCCACTATATATATACACACAATTGTTTAATGACACTTTTGTTGAGAAAATACTTCATATTTTCTTTTTTTTCCAAAGATGTTTTTACCCCACAAAGTTCCAACACCTCAGGCACATCCCAAAGTATAGCTCACAATTATTATTATTATTATTTTTTTAAGAAAGTAAAACCATACTTTTAAAACAATTTCCTGGGCACGAAGGAGAGTTGTCCACCTGCTCCTCCTCATACTTTCACCAGAAAGAAATTAGCACCATGTTTGTGGGTGTCACAGTATAGCACAGGTAACCCCTTCCTAGTTACTAGATCCTAATGTTTGAAAATGTAAGGATTAATGACTTTTTTCTGACAAAATCTGAAAATAAATTAAATTGTGCATTTGTTGTTAAATAACTGAGTAAAGTAACAGTAGGTCCAGCTCCCTAAGAATTCTCCTTATGAACTATTTTAAAGAATGTGTTTGTTTTTGAATAACTGCTGTGGACACAATATTAAAGGACTTCAGTACCTGACTGTATGCAAACAAGCGCTTCATGGCTTGAGTTGGACGCTGTGTTGTAGCTGCAGTTGACAGAGCTCTGCGCGAAACGCCACACGTTAGTGTTCCTCTGCGTTACCTAATCCAGACAGAGGCCTTGGTTTATTCTTCCTGACGGTAGATGAGGAGGGGGGGCCTCCGGTCCTCGCCCGCGAGCTCACTTTGTTCTGATTCTCCCCGCTGCTGCACAGCCTCAGTTCTGGCCCGATGCCGGCTACCGTCTGCATGAGCAGCCTGAAGTCCACCCCCGTGGGGACGCCCTGCACCCCCCGGCGCCTCAGCCTGGCCGAGTCCTTCACCAACCTGCGGGACTCCACCAAGACCACCAGCACCTCGCTGGGCCTGGTCCGGCTCCTGCAGGAGAGGGGCATCTCCGCTGCTGTCTACAACCCCCAGAGCTGGGATCGGGCGGCCACGGGGGCCGGCACCCTCGCCGGCCCACCCAGGGCCCCAGAAACGCTGCCCTCCACGCCGCCCAACTCCCCGACGACGGCGGCGGCGACAGCGACGACGACAACATCAGAGCAGCCGCAGCAGCAGCCCGGCAGCAGCGCCCCTTTCGAGTTCAAGGGCCCCGGCGGGCCCTACGACAACTTCCTGGCCTCCAAGCCGGCCAGCTCCATCCTGAAGGAGGTGAGGGCGGAGAGCAGGAGCACCTGCAGCAGCGGGAGCCAGACGGACGTCAGCGTGTCCAACCTGAACCTGCTGGACAAGCTCAAGCCCTTCGTGCCCGCGGGCCTGGCGAGGGAGGGGCTGGCCCTGGGCTGCCCGGGGGTGACGCACGCCATCGGCGGCATCCGGCGCAACCGCAGCTACCCGGCCGTGGTGGGGGCCAGCATGCAGATGAAGGGGCCGGGGCCGCAGAGTTCGGAGCTCATCCTGGGGCCCCAGCTGCCCAAGCAGACTAGCCTCAAGTAGGGGACGCCTCGCCCTTCCGTGTCGCTGTTTAAACTGCTGGTTTTAAACCCACACGTGCATTCGTTCTGTGCCAGTGTTCGACCAATCAGCCCTGTGCCTGTAAGAAACGGAAGGTATGAACTTTGTACAGCTTCTCTTGTAAGTAGCCTTCTCTCTCTCTCCCCCCTGCGTTCTTATTTCCCCCAGTCAGTACCGGGATGTGTTCTTCCCCGATTGTGCCCGTGCTGTTAGTAATATATTCTGCGGTGCTCCAGAGGTGTGCGCGTGTGGGAACAGGTCTTACATCACGATAGTCTGAGGAGAGAATTAGGAGCCTGATTAGATTTAGAATTCAGTGACTGATTAGAGTGACCTTTGTCCCGTTTTTCTTTGCAATGGTAGCTCTCGTGTGGTTCGTCCTTCTGGATCCTAACTCCAGTCTGCACTGATCTTTCAAAGCAGTTAAGCCGATGCACAGAGACAGTCCCTTCACAAACGGCTGAACAGGTGAGCAGGTGGAGCTGCAGCCTTTTACACTTCAATGGAAAACCTACATTGTGCTCAACGCTGTTAATGTGAGACTTACAACAACATGACCCTCTCAACCCGAGTCCCCCTCAGACTCAAAAGAAAAATCTTTCCAAATTTTAAAAACAGATATGTAATTCATTACACTGTGTTCTTTCACACAAGCAGATCCAAAGCTGCATACACAGACGTAGAACTGACATACTTGAAGTGCAAATGCAGTAGAGATGTAGAGGGATTGGAAGGAATGAATGTGGTATTTTAGCCTCACACAAACTTTTTTTTGGTGTTAACAGCAATATATTTTTTTTATCTTTTGCTGTTTTACTGTGAGGATTTGAATATATTAAGGGTGGCTTATACAGTACAGTACTTGAATCTCAGAAAGTTAATAATCGGATAACATTTTTAATTGTGTTTTACGTTGCTGTGGAGGCCTGCGTCCAACTGATCGATTGCGTGAGGCCCAGAAGTAGCTGGACTCTGTCAGCTGATAGTATTAAGCCAGTGATCCTGTATAGGATCTGTATCATCACTGTAGCTCACTCACAAGAGACCTGTAAGAAGATACGCAACACGTTTCTCCTCGAGGACATTATGTAAGCATCCAACATTTACAGTTAGCTTTAAAACCGATCTTATAGAAGAGGACAAAATGTCAAAACTCAGAACATATCTTAGTGCCTGATCTTAGTCCAACAATGTAGAACAAGTCTATTGGTCTGCTGTGCTATGGCTGAAGTAGAGCCTAATTTGCACTGATGGCTTATTGTAAAGAGTGTTTTGATGGTTCATTTGAACTGTTTTAACCTTATGTCTAATGAACATGAAATGATCAATATATTTTGAAGCAAAGCACATGGAACAGTTATGCATGTGTTAAATGAAGAAAATAAACGTATTTATTCTTTACTTAAGCAGTACATTTTAGGAAAAATACACATTGGCTGATATTATTTACTGTTGTATGTGTGCACTTCTTGTCCGTAACTTGAATATTTCAGTTGAATGTATTAAATAACAGCAGATATGTTCATAAATGTACATTTGATTTAAACTATGGATTTTACTCCATTTCACCATAAAGGGAAGAATACTATTTGTAAATTGTAAATGGTATATATGCAATAAAAAGTCATGCTAACGTTTTTAATAAAAGTGAACAAAAAATAATTTAAAAAAATCATGACGTCAAAGACACTGATAATACCATAAGCATTGCGTTGTACTTTCAGGAATTTTAAATGCTGTTCTTTGCAAAAAAAGAAGAAATTCGAAATAAAAACAATTGATATTACATGTGAGTTGTATCTTCGTCTTTCATTTCAAGGTCGGTACCATATATAGTACTTTTCTGTTTCAATGAAATGAAATGCGTTTCTATTCAGGAATGTATGCTACAGTATATAAGCTTTGTCAGTTAATCTAACCTCTTTAAAGGCATGTTTTAGGAAAGGAAGAAACTGTTAAATTAGATATTACCTTTTTCTTCCAAGACTGGGAGATTTTCATGACACTGTAACAGCTTTGAAACAATAGAAATTTTGTTCTGTCAGCCTTATTCACATCATTTGATTTAATTTGTTTTGTAGGATAAGGTACTTTACCATTTCACTTCCATCTTCCGTATTTTTTCATTTTATTTTGCCATTCCTTTTCACTTCTATTTTATTTTCCGAAACCCCCTTTTACACCACAAGAGGGCGCTTTGTGACAATGTACATGACCTCCACACGGTGTTAACGTTGGATTAGAATGGCATATGTTTAGCAATAATATTATTTATGGTACCTGAAAGTTTCAGGTTCTTGCACAAAGCTAAGGTATGCGTATACGTGATCTGACAACTGGAATCAATTTCCTGTCGTTAAACTTATTTTTAAGCTTATTTATGGGGTTAAGTTTATTTATGGGGTTGAACCATGGAAGTAATAATCATACTGTAGAACATAAGTTGCACCATTTAGTGGTAGCTGTTTTTGTCTTTTTCTTGTCCTGGTTTCTCTTCCACCCTTCCCCCTGTCTGTGCTAAGGTCGGCAGTGCAGGGAATGAAGTGCCGTACGTGAAGATCCTGAAGGACGCGTAGCCGACGTGCAGGGGAATGGCAAGAGCTTCAAATCAAGAGAAAGAGCTGGAACTGTGATTGCGGCACACCAAGTCGTCACGGATATAAAATTCTGTTTTTCAGAACCACTGTAAAGGCCTTCAGCACCTTGAAGTGCCAAAAAGGCAGGGAAGTTGAGTTCTTGCCTGAGCTTGTGTGCTGCAGCACACTAGGTTTTTATGCTCCTTTGGGGTCTCATTTTCAGCTAAGTCGACTGAGGAACCTGAGCCGAAATAGACATGCCTGAGGACAGCAGTATCTCAGTCACCTGCCCCTTTCCCGAAAGAGTCGAGCTGTACATCTGACAGTTTGTAAACAGGCCACTTGTCAATCTCTAGAGCAGGATATCTGGGATGTATTCAAGGCTACTCAGTCTAACACAATTAACAGCTCTGTAGGGACTGCACAATAGGACAGGCCAGAATGAATGAGAGGAGAGAAGCACTCACAATGCTGCAGGTGTTACAATGGCTCACTATGGCCCTGAGGATGACTAAAGGCAAACGTCTTCACTTGATCTCTTAACAACTTGTTTCCAACTTGTTACTGCCCCTAATCTGAGTGACCTGGTATCATTTGCTGCACCATTTCTGTATGTAGTCCCTTTGTGTGCTACCTTCCTGGCCTTGTTTCAGAGATCGCTGGCAAAACATCAGCTCTGGAGAGGAATCTTCAGGGCTCCAAAGAGGGAAAATAAGAGTTCGTGTTTAATTAAGTCGAGTTGCCTGTATCAAATTACTTTTCAGGACAGATGTCACCATGGTGTTTTCTAGGGACTGGTTCTAGATATTATGGGGCTTTCTTTTTAAAAAGGTTTTTCTGTAAATTAATCTGATTCTCATTTACGCATCGTAAACAACCCACATTTGCCTTCTTTGTCTCTAAGGCATTAGAGAATCATTTCATTCTGAGTCCATTTGTAAATCTTATTATATTATATAGTATAACAGCCACTCATCCGTGAATTGAAGTGTATTGATTTTCAGATTTTCAATATCACAGCAATTTACAATTTACAGGTCTAAAGTTCACACCAGTGGTGACATTTTGTCAAAGAAAGTGCAGGTACAGTAGACTAAAATTTGAAAAAAAAAATGTTTGTGTTGGGACACAAGAATGCTAAACAAAAGGCGCATAACGTTTTCACCAGTTCAATTCATGAAAGGAAACATGAAGATTACAGACGGCACAAAGGGTAGAATGGGACCATTCGGCTCATCTGTCCCCTTATAGAAACCGAATACTGACATCCTGTTCACAAGAAGAGAATGTTTGTACTACTCTCAAGCTTCATAATGCTCATTTAATATTATCATCAAAATACAATTGCAGTGTCAGCTGTGGTAGAACACTGTCCACTATGTGGGAGTAGTGTGTAAAAGATCAGCAGCTCGCTGGTTTTCTCAAGATTTGAATTAGCCTGTCAGATTTCCCCGTTGTTAATAGATGTTAACGTTTGCCATACGGCTTCCTCATTACACGCACATCCCACGTCTCTTTAATAACACGATTCTGAGATCCCCTTCTGAGGCAGAAGTATTGATTTTTCATTTTATAGTTTATGAAGAAATACACCAGCATCTGCACCCTGTTGAGACGGTGCTCCCAGCACAGCGAGACCTGTTTCGGAAGATTAGGGATGGTTAGTAAGTCATCGATCGGGTAAGTAAGTCACCATGCCAGAAATGAAGGGTGCCGTGGCTCCGAATGATTTGTAAAGTGCAAAATGTAACACATTTCCCGAGGAATGACAGACACCCAAGAATAAAGCATCAGGGAGTGAAACTGTGGCTGAACCCGCTTGGCTGAGGGCTGGCCTCCCGGTCTGGTGACAAGGAGGCCAGGACCCCCCTGTAGGGTGACTGAGGGGCAGCTGCAGAGGTGGAGTTGGATGCAAGAGACATGCAAGAGAGAGAGACAGGGATCACGCAGGTATATCACGCATTTATAGCGTTTGGGAGAGGAATGACTGTCGGGAGCGATTGAGCTTGGTTGTTGTCATCCCTCCCGAACTTTTTTGATAAACCCCATTAGGTGAAAGTGGTCACAGCAGAGTCACTTCTGGTCTTTAGAAATGGATGATGTATTGATTACCTTCAAGTCTATAGGACAGTCTCCTTTCTTGACCCAACTCAACAGCGTTTTTACAAATGATGTCAGACAGTGTGACTGAATGAAAAAGTGAAAATTGGAAAAAGATGAGAGATGTGACTGTTTAATAATACCCGATGTGAAGTCATAAAAGGAATTTGTATGAAATTTGACAGTTTTTTTAAACTGTTATACCAGAAAAAATGTAAGATGGACACCTTCATCTCTTTAAAGATTAATATTTAAAGATTCAAACTCACTGGTTCAACGAAAAATGTATTCAATTTCATTTCAGAACATCCTCAAGAATTTTGTCATTGTGAAATAATGTTTTCATTTGAAGCACAGCAAAAATGTACAATGTTTAAAGAAAATGTACATTGTACAATTCTAATTTTGAAAATACATTTAATTTATGTAAAATATATGTAAAAAACTACACAGTTTCAAATCCTTCCTTTTAACAAAATCCTTGAGAGAGTTTTCTCTGGTGTTAAAGTAAAAAATTCACAAATGTAACGAGTTTGCACAATTCATTATGTACAGTTTATGTGTAGGTTTTATAATGTTCTGTTTCAAGGTTATTTGGATTTCGTCCCTCTATTCTTACTACTGAAATATTTTAAACACATTTACTGTAGGAGACCTGGATTACCAGAAATCGGTAGGCTGCTATTTCTGTCCCCCTCTCACATTTCTACTGTTAACTCTCCCACAGTAATAGTGCCCATTCCATCCTACTGTCAGAATCATCACAACTGGCTCCCCATTCCTGGCTTAATGTCAGCTCCTTCCCCAAGGCACAGAGTTGGCAGGATTTGGTGTATAAATATATACAGACACACGCTGCAGAGGAGAGCTTCATGGCTGTCGATTTGCATATCACAAGGAAGAAGGGCGCTTTAAGGAAAGAACTATACAGGCTTTCTCCACTTGCATAGCAAGTTTCCCCCTAATGATCAGCTTGCATTATTCTGAAAATACACTGTTCTTATTTTTTTACACTTACTGAAAATAGAAGCAGAACTATATCCACCAAACTGTAAAATTCTTCACCTAATTTAAGAAAACCCATTTAATGAGTTAAGATATTTTTACAGTGATTAGTTGTAAAAGACTCAGATGAATCCACATTGTACTAAGATTGTAGGTGAATTATCATTAACATCATACTGTTTAATTACATCGATATGTACTCAGATTATTGTATTCCTTTAATAAATATTTTATTGTCATGAATTTATGGTTTGTAGTAGAAGAAAGAACCAGACCTTTTTTAGGCTTTTCAGATGTAATAGGCAAATTGGTCCTACCCTTCAGATGTTTTAATTTATCTGTAACAGGAACAATGATTTGTAGGTGATAATGTTGAAGGTGATAATAACAATAATAGGCGTATTTCTGCTACACTGAGCTTCCTTGCAAACAATTATCACATTATCAAAAATGTCTTTTTTTCAGAGAAAAATTCAGAGCACAATTCAGAGAAGGCAACCTGTTCATCATGTCTTTGGGCCCCTATATAAAATGATACTGGAAAAGTAGTCAGATGAATGGAAGTAATTACGGCTTCACAGCCCTTCTTTTGATCTGGGTGTCATGGATGTCAGAAAGACATGCCGTGGCATGGCCAGGAGAGCAATAAAGACCCAATGCGTAGTGGCAAAATGGGCAACGCGGAGGTTAGCCCGGGCTCAGGAGGTCGGACGATGTCAGGTAGAAACCTACAGGTATGCCCTTGGGCCGTGGAGGAGACGAACTGGTGCATGGCGGGTCTCCAGACATCCGAACCCTCAATGCTGAGCCGGGAGGAAAGGTTGACCTGGAAATATATAGCCCCACACAAAGACACACCGGAAGGACAAGAAAAGCACAGGGGAAACTAGGAACAGGACAGAGTAGGATCGCCCTCTAGCTGTAGGGGGTGTAACAACAGGTCTTTTAACATCGTTCTGGAGCTGAGCCCTACAGGAAAGCATCAGATTGTGTCAAGTGAGATTGATTTAGTCCTGCTGCCTACAGATCAACTCTCTTAAGACATTTCTCTTGGGAAAAATACGTCAAGCTCTCCCGTCCAGTGGAGGAAAGGGTGATCTGGAAATATATAGCCACCCCCACACAAAGACACAGGGACACTAGGAACAGGACAGAGTAGGAGCGCCCTCTAGCTGTAGAGGGCGTGACACTGGGCTGGTGTAATATAAAAGATAACTGTGGTAAAACCCGATATGAGCAGGAAAGTCATGGCAAAGCAAACTAAAGAGAAATATGCCATGCAAATGTGGGAACGCAGCAGATTGCTCTGTTGAGTCGTCGAGATGCACAATTATTCTCCCCTCTCGTCTCAGCAGCCCCGGTACTAAAATATGAGAAGCCTCCAGGTGCCACATACTAAAGAGGTTTTGAAAATGAGTAAATATCTGTAAATGATTTTCTTTAGCAATGGAATTTGTATTGTAGAATTTAATTTATTTGGGATTCTGATTAGGCTGGACATTGCTGTTACTGCACATAAGAGATATATACTGGAGAGTGTATCTTGATTCTAAATTGAGGCATGCTTCTGCTTAGTACTGCCCTGTCTATTTTTTCATCATTTTGGGGACATTTGAAATGGGAAATCGTTTTTTCATTAATCTCCTTATTAGATTCAGATATTAAGTCAGAACCTGTTTTTCTACCACAGTGTATTTGGCTCTCACAGTGAGCCCCTCTATCATATTAATAGAAGTGTGTCTGACTGGGACTGGGAAGCTGTACTGGTGCAGGTCAGCTGGTTGTTTAAACTGAACCTGTGCGTTCATATTCATATTCATGTGACACAAAGGACTCACAGATCTGACAAGTGAACCGGTTATTGTGAATAAAGGAAGAAGTCGTGTTTAAGTACGAAGGCCCATGGTCTGTTTCTGGAACAGGAATGAGTCTGGCAGTCTTGTTATGCGAAATGGGTGTAAAAAGACACTTTGACAACTGCATTTTGTACACTGTTCTCCCCACCCGAAAAACTTAAATCAGGGTGAAAACTACAGCACAGCTGCCATGAGAGTAAAAGCAATTTTTTTTGATTAACTGGTGGTCATAATACAACCTTTAGATCTAAATACCCCTGATGTATTTATCATGATGGGAGACATCGCATTGCTGTTATTGTGAGGTGTTATTAATGAGATTGTGCAAATGAACCAATTTCATTATGCGATGCAAAATGCAGGACATGGAACCAGTTGTTGTCAAAATTGAAATGCTGCTGGAATCCGTCTTCAGAAGGTAAATATAATAGACCATGATGTAATGCCTTATTATTCTACAAAATAATTTTCTAAATACACAGTCTTTGTGGAGTCCATGTAATGTGATACCAAGGTCATATGCTGTCTTGATTTATTCTGAAACACCTGACAACTTTCCTGTGACAGAACAAGATATGATATCTAGGTAAATCACTTTAATAATATTAAATTAACAATATGAAAAGGAACCAGAAAAAAAAACAGAACTTTTTTTTCTGCAAAATTTGGCATATGTATATATTGCATCATAGTTTTACAAACAAATTTACATCAAATACATAATAAATAATTTTTCTCGAAACACAGATCTCCAGGACAACGAATTAAAATTATTTTCTATTTCTCTGTACAGAAGTCGGGGCAAAATCTGTCTTATGAGGAATACTCGTATTCTTCAGCGCTGCGGCGCCCGAAATCCATCCAGCCGAGGTAGTCCCTGTCTTTTATCCTGTGGTTGGCGCTCAAGCCGCTGGCCTTGCTGTTCGCAGTGGAGTTTCTCCGGAAAGACCCTGGGGGAACGGACAGAGGTCGCATCCGGTTACTTGTCTCACAGATAGTGACACCTATCCGGGGGGCCTGGGGCAGGAAATCGCGGTGCCCTCCTGTGATTCAACTGCCCCCTCAGAAAAACACGGTCTACCAGGAATTGTGACGGTTGTGTTGTTTGAGCTCCGGTGTTTTTCGTTTTAACACGAAAAGAAAAAGGACAACCAGCTGAAAATACAAACACGCCATGGATAAGTGTCTAGAAATAAATTCTAGATAGTATATTTTATCTTATTGGTTGATTCGCACAACAGCCTTCCATGGAAAGATGTAAAAACTTGTGGGGCAGTCGTAATAAAAGTCTAATAAGAAATCAAGTGTTGAGGACCTTATAGACTGCCTGTTTCCACAATGCTCCCTGCAGTTCTCTCAGACCTCTGTCTAACACTGTTCTTCGTCCAGAGCCTCAGAGCTCACAGTCTGCCACACTCAGTCCAGCATTTCAAAAAGCCCATTCCGCCTTAACACAGCTGCCCTACTGCATTCGCTGTGTCACGAAACGGTTTTGTACTTTGATGGGTTCAACAAAGAAATCCTGAAACCAGCCCACAATAGAAACACCCTCTCACTCTGTCCTTACAATGATATATCTTACAATCACCTCAGGTGCTGTATTCTTAGAGAAAAAAACATCTTTGGGCTTTCTAGGGATTAGTTTAGTTTTAATTGTGAAGCACAAAAGTTCCAGTTACAGTACACTCCTTATATTAGGGGTGGAGCGGTGGCTCTATGGCTCAGGATCTGCACCTGTGGCTGGAAAGTTGCTGGTTCAAATCCTGTGGCCGGCAGAGGAATCCTACTCTGTTGGGCCCCTGAGCAAGGCCCTTAACCCCAGCTGCTCCAGGGGTGGTGTACAATGGCTGACCCTGCGCTCTGACCCCAGGCTTCTCTGCCTGTCTGTGTGTCTGTGTCTCATCGAGAGCAAGCTGGGGTATGCGAAAAGACGAATTCCTAATAAAGTGATGTTATTATCCTATTAACAGACTCATGCATCCTGCAAATTTAAAGAAATTTTAAAAGTTGACAGAATGCTATGTAAAAACATTGCATCCATTTGAAACTGTTTCTTTATTTTGTGCATGTCGTATTGTTTTCTTTGCTTATGCTGGTAGTTTAGGAAAACTGTTAAAAATTTTATGCTGGTGGCTAATTTCCTCAACTTGATCCCGTGAAGTCACAATAAAACAAATGCCTGCAGGGAGTATAGTAAAATAATGCTGCATTGATCTTGGGGGTGCTTTTTTGCTGAATTGTATAACAACAAGAAAACTGTCAGAGCATAATAGAACACTAGAGCTGTGCAATTATTAGTATTTTCCTGAAACCATTCCATTATTGTGCAGGCCAGAGGAAGAAACAAATTGCCTCTTTCCTGGTTTGATAATTGTAGTAAAGGGTAATTACTTGGCAATTAATCCTGTGAAATGTCTTGCCGGTTTGTGCCCCATAACCAATGAAGTTCAGACAAAATCAGTGTCACATGAAAGGATTTTTTGTAAAAAATATATACATACTGTATAGGGGTAAATACAGTGTTTTCAAGAATTCCCTACACTGACACTGATTCAAGTTTAATTAGCATCCAGGCTCTATAACATCTTTTCCTCTGCTCTGTCGATGAGCAGTGCACTTTGCTAATCATCACCTTTTGATTGGTCAATGTTATAAATTAGATTTAAGATTATTTTAGATTAGAGTTTAAGATTAAAATTACAGGAAACATTTGCAGGCAATAAAAATAGGTTTCATAGTAGAGAATTATCGCATTATTTCTTGTATTATTATTTTGACTTCTCCTCATGAACTGTCAGGGAGTACGACGATCTGATATGACAGCTGCCTGTCCCTGCCCTGGCTTCGTTAATTTCTCCCCAAAAATGCAACTACATATAACTAGCAGCCTGTAATCACAGAAATAAACACGGTTATACTTCACAAAACAGATTTTCCAAAATCGTTAATAAGAACAGCTACCCAATATGTTATACAAAATTAGACCTGGCTTATATGAGGATGAGGGCATGTTTTTCTGCAATTTCGACTCCCCCACAGAAACTAAAGACCAAATCGATATGAAAAGCTTTAAAAGAGAGGGAGAGGGGAGCACGCTCCCAGGGTACTTATGTTTTGTACATGTGATCGACTGACTGCTCACATATTTAGTAACACTGTAATAAGGAGTGAATGTGTGTTTATCAGAATCTACGTGGGGGAGACAGGTCACGACACGCATTGTTTTGTACGGAACCCCAGGACTGAGTGCTGTTGGAACAATAATGGTTTCCATAGTAAATATGAAAAGGTCTTTGTTTTGTTCCACATTCAATTTTATTTTCACAACAAAGCAGCTGAAAACACTAGAGTTAAAGGACAAGGTATGGCTATGCTTTTATTTTTCTTCACTATAGCGATTAACTATGCACACTCTGCCTCTCATCCCATCTTTCTGAGTCATCGTCTATGACATTACCGCTGCTGGACAACTGTGATAGATTACATTCTAGATCATTTTTAAAGAATGTTCTCATGTCTTTTAATGTGAACAGTACCTAAAAGAAGAATCTTAAGTGCATTTGATCAAAAGGCAACATCTGGGGGCATGCACAAGCCTTTAGAATTGTCCTCACTTGAAATGAAATCTCATTCAGCCTGTTTCTCAAAATGAATTTACAAAGGTCCAGTCTAACATAATGAGTAGGCTGAACTATATTCAGATATAAGTTCAATATATTTGAACTACCTTTTTTGACAAATAGTTGCAGATACAGTGAAATTTCTCTATGCAGAACAGCTACTGTAAATCTCGGCAATAAGAAATTGATTATGGCCATATATATATATATTCGTATGAGCTTGACATGCAGACGTTACATAGTTATATTATTATGGCCATGTCGACTCATTATAAAATGCATTAATTTTGTGGGTTGTATTCTTGTATTACTGTAAATTGACTTGGATAAAGACATTAAATCCAAATTAAATAATGGCAGCACTGACAATTGCATGAGAAATAGTCATTTTCCTGCCTAAAATGTTTTATCTACTGTACGTTACACAAGGACATCAGCATGTCAGCTAGAGTTTTCATCAAGTCACATCATGGTCACTTAATAATGGAGAAACAGAATGTCAAGTTGAGTCTTTAATTAACTGCAGTGTTAATCCTGTACATCTACTGTAAGTCTTCATCTCTGTATTTTTTTAAAAGAGACCAGAAAAAAGGCATCCTCTTATTCATTGCCTTACTAGGACTCTTCTGTTTCCACCATACAAAGTAAAAATATTAAACCTAAAACCTAAAGTACTTTCAATAATTAAAAAGCATTCCTCTGCCACTCACAGTTAGATCCATATATTCAACAAACCTAAACTTTTTAAAAGATTTTTTGGATTTCATGACCAATATATTTTAGCAAATCGTTCTTATAATTATGTAGGGATGATGTATGTCAGAATGTGTTCCAATGCTCTGTGTTTCAGGTGAGTCATGCTCATGCATTCTGCTCATTTTGCTATTAATATCATAAACACCCCTTCTTGAGGTTCTTCATCCACTCGGACACTCTGAATAAGCAGCACAAAACAAACGTAGATTGTTTTGTGATCAGAAATGAATTGTTCTGCAATAGATCTGAGAAGACCTTTAGTTAAAATGATATTCTTTATTTAAATCTATATTAAAATCATATTTTCTTTACAACCCAGAATGCTACCAGAAAAGTTCTAAAAGCATATAGGTTATGTTACAAAAACTATGAGACTTGCAGGCTGAGTTTCAGACAAAGGGAGTTACAAAATGCATAGTAAATGCATTCTTAAATTATTGGAGGCTTAATCAGTCTGCTCAAGGTCTGCCCTAACTGTGACAATAAGAATGCTTAGTAGGAGATTTTAATCTAGAGCACAGTTAAGTACTGGATATAAAAGGGTATCCAGACCTTTACTGAAGGCATGAGAAAGCAACGGACTGCTGGAGTTTGAAGTTCACTCGGACTCGCTGAGCTCCAAGTTATAGGTGCAGCCGAGGAAGCGCACAGTCGGCCATGTGAAAAACACTATCCCACACGGGACTCTAATCTGTACAAGTACAAATAATGTGCAGGAGGGTTTTAGATGTGTTATTATACTGAATATTTACGTATTCAAAGCGTCCGTGTAAGTTTCAAAATCTGCTCACAGCTGTTCAGACTGACAGTCAGAAGGTAGGCTTTCTCCTAGCTCTGGAGATGCAGGGGTTTGGCGCTCACCTTTCCTGTTCAGTAGTCTTGCCAGCAGTTCCCCGAGGCTGGCTCTTTGCTCCGCAGCCTCCTCTGCCCTTTGGAAGGGCTGCGGCTGTCCATGAGGTGGCGCTGAGCGGGCGGTCCTGCGGGGCGCTGACAGGCTCTGACCCAGCTGTGCCGGCGTCCCCTCATCCTCGGAGCCGGAGGCCGGGCGACCCAAGCAGCTCGTCGAGAGCACAGCCAGTAACACGCAGACACAGATTCCACTGTTCATAGCTGTGAGACAGAGCGGGGCACGGCAATTACCGACTATTTCAGCGCATGTTTCTCTTTGCACTGCGCTACCAATTCCATTTTTCCCAGGTAGAAGATACCGTAGTTTGTATGTACTGTAGATGCGCTGCAGACAGAACTGCAGTACGTGTCTTCGGTCTTAAAACCTTAAACATCAGGCTTGGCACTTTGATTGTGCTATGAAGTGCAAACGCTTCTTCGGAACTTCGCGTTTAATTCACCGTCAGATGCTGATACAGTATGTAATGAGCGGACTAATCGTTCACTAATAGATGTGAATACGTTTAAGAGTTATTAATCTCAATACATACTTAAGGGAAATAACTGATTTTATTTGCGTAATGCAGTTTCAGATTCATAAAATGCCTGAATGTTTGAAAAGATATACTGTACAGTATGAGAAATAAAGGAGAATAGAAAATTATTTTCTACAATACTGGAAGCCGTGTTGAATTGTGGATAATCTGCTGACAGCAGATCCCACAGGAAGCATATTATTGTTACATTGTCCCCAAATTACCATTTATTGATTTAGACATTTAATCACAAATGGACACCATCTGCTCAACATTAGGAAAAAGATTCCCGAACTATACAGGACTGAAAATGAATACTGTCGTTGTAGTGTAAATCATTTTTACACAAACTATACTGTAATAAGAGATGTGAGTCAAATTCTAGCATTCTAAAAATTTTAAATTCAAAATCATTCACTTCTAAGCAGTCATTACATATTAAAAGAAACTTGAAATTCATGAATAAATCAATTGCAAGGTCTCCCTTATAATACACAGGATGAAAATTATCATATCATCACCGTCGCTACCAAGACAAAAATTAAATCACATTCATAATGTGACATGACCCTGAATATTGTTTTAGCTGAAACTCTACTTAGAAAATTGCTTGTGAAAATCTGGACTGAACAAATCTAAATATTAAAAATATATGTTATATATATATTATTGAAAAATATATGGTTTCCACAGGTTTATTAACAAATGTTTTCTTCAGTCTCATCAACAATTTATCCTTAGAGAGTGATCGTACTAGAAAAATTAGCTTTAAGATTTTTCTTAATCCTGTGAAATAGACATGCACACACCCTATGCATCAGCTTTTAAGGCATTTGAGTTTCTATCTGTCCATAGAGACTTGCTTTCTTTCATGTGCTTCCTTAATGATCTATGCACAGTACTTCAGTCTCTGCATTGAGCCACATACTTTAGTACTGAAAATCTAAAGTGAATAACTAATTAAGGGAGTAGAGGACTACTCTAGACCGCAGGTTTCTGGAGATGAATGTATAGTTTGCTCTCTTATTGCTCACAATAAATGAGCTTTTTGTTCATATCTTTGTAAAATGCCTTATTTTCTATGGGAAAGCTGATAAGTTCATGATGAAAACCGAGGGAGTCGTCTAGCACTCCCGAAACACAATTCATGTGAGTACCATCAGAATAAGCTCTTGAACCCAGCTTACTTCAGCAGCAGACACAAATTTCACTCCTGTTTCAGACTGAAAGTTCATGAAACTTGTCCGCATTACCAAATGAAAACATCAAACTGAGTTAAACAAAATAACTGCTAGATATACAACTTCACTTTTTAAGACGAGAATCCAACACTTCTACAAAAGAAAGGTCTTACACTTACCTTCCAGATGAAAGTTGTTTCCGAAGGCAGAAGAGCTGGAGGAGTGATGTGTGAACAGTGCGCGATAACTTCTTAGGATCTGCGATGCAGCTCCTTAAATATCCACCAGAGTGTTCAGAGTACTGTCATCTATTTGCACAGCACTGACGCAGATGTGGGAGAACCACATGCTCAGCTGCATGCTACTAGGACACAATAAATTAGTATCACTCTGGGGAATGACAGTTAAAAAAACTTCCACATAATGATCGTCCCTTTCAAACCCTGGCAGAACTAGACTGCTAAAAAATCTTTGGACAGTAACAAAGTCATTTACAATGGAGCAGAAAAATCCTGAGGTTTCTAAGGATTTCTCTCACGTTTTCACCAGCAAAAACAAAAGTGCTGCAAATTAAAATGCAGAAAACAGGATGATGTGATATTCATCCATATTCAATAAGTGAACATTGACTGACAGACAACAGGTGCAGAGCAAGATACACTGGGGACGGGTTGCCGGTTCAATGCAGTGCACACACACCCACATACACACTGCATACAGGGACAGTTTGGCATCACCTTAGACCGAAAGGCTTTAGATTTTGGGAAATGAAGCCCCGGTTTCACCATGCCAGACCCAATTCCAAAATGTGAAATAACGAACTTTTGTAAACAAGGTGGTAGTGTACACCATATTGAAGAAATCAGGGATCCCTATGATTAAATAAAGATAAAGAAGGATTTTATTTTTTTTACTTAAACTTATACTTTATGTATACTTCAAACAATATGTTATTGTTTCAAGGGAATGAACTGTATATTTATCATAGCTGGCAGAGGAACATTCATAACAGGCCTTTTTTGTACTCTTTGGATAAATTATATCTGCTCATTTGTGATTTTTAATGTGTCAGTTACTTAGGCTTCAACAGTTTGGACTACCCAAGGATTTAAAAGCTGCCTGACTGCAGGCTTTTGGTTCACTGATTGGAATTGATCAGACAGTACTGATACTAGTGTATATAGTATTTCATGCTAGAGGAAGTAACTCTTTATTATTGCATGTATCATCCTGAATTAATTAAATCTGAAGTTTGACAGACCGTGATCTGAAAGAACACTCTAGTATTAAGCACAAGTGGATCTTCAGGAAAGCCTAAGAGGAAGGGCTTACTAGGATATTTCTGTAGAGTTCGTACAGATGCCCCCAGAGTTGGGCCAGATGTTTTGGTAAAGCTAGTGGTTATGTACTTGTCGTGTGACTGGGTGGTGACAGTATCACGTGGTCACGTGGTACAGTATGTCACCAGTTTGGTATCAGAGAACTCTGGAGAAGACTGTCAGGTCATCCATCAGCTGAAGCTCAGACGAACATGGGTCATGCAGTAAGTCAATGATCCCACAGAAATTTCTCAATTTGGATTGGTCATTTCAAAGTCCAGACATTAACACCATCGAAATCTGATGGCAGGAACTTGAAGTAAGCTTTTCAAGAAAGGAAACCCTCAAATGTCACAGATTTGAAGTAGTACTTGAGGAAGAATTAGCTACATCTCAGAAACGTCAGCGTGAGAGGCCGATAAACAGTGCCGGGAAACTGATTGCTGCTCAAGGAGGTGTCACCAATTACTGAGGGTTCATTTATTCACCTCAAAATGTTTACTGTTGCATCATTTTGTAATGCAATCCACATATATCTTATATATTCAAGTTATACATTTAATAAGGCATCTTCATCCATTATTCAGACTTTCAAAAAATCTAATCTTTTCAAATACATGTATAAGAATACAGACCATCCTAAGGGTTTAGCAAATTTTTCTTTGCAATGTAACTTGCATACTGTAGTATATCGACAGATTGACTTCCATAGTCTTCCCCTCACAAATTCGCTTTATTAATACTGTTGCATTGTTTTCTGGACAATGTACAGTACGTTCTTTCCAGAATGTATTCAAAAGCTGCTTTTGCTCACTGACTTTTTAACACATTCCCAAGTTTGCAAGATTGCCCAAGAAGGTCAGGTCAAACAGCTGGACACCCGGGTCCTTGTTTCTATATCTTGTTGTCCACCATATATTGAGAATGTATTTGCTAGGAAACAATTTATGGACTGCACTGTATTTCATTATGGAATCTTGCTGCACAGAAAGAGACATTTATTATATTAGTGTTTTTACTTGTTTGAACAGATGAACCCTGTATGGGAATGATGTGGACAGTCAGCTGAGATTAATTTGACTAATTGAACTTCAGAGACCACTACTGAGTTAGCATCTGGTGAAGAATATTAAAAACCCCTGAAGACGAGTTGACTCCTCTGGGGCTCAATAGTTTGGCAATATCTACCGGCACAATTCCTCAGGTTAAGAGGGGGTCGGTCCTGGCAGTGAGATCAGAGAGCGGTTTCTGTCTCAAGGCAGTCTCCCTTGCTCATACAGTATACGGGTAGCTATAGCATGGAGTACTGACCAGGGAATTTTAAATGGCTAAACAAGTGACCTAAAAAAAATATAATTAATGGAAAACGTTAACAATCTGAGACATACTGCTGAAGAACTTGGGTTGCAAATTCATTCAATGAAACAAAGGGCAGAAAAGCAAATCTACACTATAAGGAATTTTGAATTTTGAGGCTGCACATCTTTTAAGGCTCTTATTTATACAGTATATTTTCAGACCAAGGACCATTTTTTACATAATCCATGATAATTATAGATGGGTACTTAGGAATTAGTTATGAGGCTTCTTCGCTTCAATGGTTAAAAAGCTTAATTTCAATGGACGTCAGATTTAATGGACAAAATCTGCTAAAGGGGAGTTTTGGCAGTAAAATCAGAAATATACAGTATACTGTATTTATGAAATATGCAATAAAGAGCTTATATATGTATAATAAACAAGCTATGGGTACAAGTCAAAAGATCCAGAAAGCATTTGGCTGAATAAAACTTAATTTGTGATTTAACAGACATTTCGGCAATGATAAACACACCTTACCCCTTATTAGTCTGCTAAACTGAAGGTTTACTGTATCTGTGATTGCCCTATGGAGTCAGGTTTTTGTCAAAAGGCCACAGTTGCCTGTCAATTTTCTCTGATGTGAGACAGTAGCCAGAGGCTTTAACTAGCATTAGAGAAATTAAGTACAACATATTTCATGAAAGACATTTTAAGGTGAATATATTGATTTAATTTATAAGGGGTTGGAAATACAGTAACATCCACGCAGGAGTGCTGCAGCACATTCAGAAAGATAACCGAAAACGTTGGACTGATATCCTAACACACTTACTGTATGACCAGGAGATGGAAATTAGAGCTATACAGCATGTTTAGATAGGTTTGGCAAATAAGCATCTATTATGACACCCATGCAAAGGTCTGTTGTATTCAAAAGACTAACAATGATGACAAATATAATACAGGTATAAACCTGACCAAACTGGATATCGGGACGCTGAGTTTTGTCAATTAAATTGAAGGCAACGAAAGAATATGAAGGTATTGCAGACAGGAATCTTCTTGGTATCGGTGTGTGAAAAGAAAATTCATGTTGATGGGAAAAATTTATATAGTTTAAGGGATTTTTTATAATGTTAGTTGTATTCGTTTGGCAAATTACTTAAATGCAATGATTTTTGGGCTCTGGACCGTGTTGAATTCATTCCCTTCCAATTTTATTATACTAAGCATGTTAAAGATAAGTGTTAAGATCCAGTACTCAATATAAAGAACAAATAAATGTGCACGTGGTGGAAGGCATGTATCGAAAAACAGTAAGAAAGCCCAGGGTTAGCAAATGGGAGTTTGTTTCAGTACTTACAGTATCTACTGAATGACATTACTGACTGAAATTCTCATGACCCAGCAATTCCTATATAACAAAATGAAAAGGTGCATAACTGAATCACAACATACACTGTAGAAAGGCAATGTGGCTTAAAAATCATATCATAAAAAAATTCACTTGTAACTCATAAATAGTGGCTTAAACACTGTGAGTGAAAATGTGGAAGCCCGAGACGCACTGTTTGCGAGCTTCACCAATGGAGGAGTGATCTTGAGACTGGTTACAGCCTGCATCCAAGCTCCCTTTGCACTGTGAGGGCTTTTGGAAGCACAGATTGGCGTATCCAACATGTATATACCAAGATGTACTGGACGCTAAAATAATCGCCCAATATCCTGCAGGAAAAGCAAACCAGCTCTATAGCATTCCCCCTGTTGGTCTTGAATATATTAGATCCCAGCAAATAATAAGAGACGTTCAGCCTGGAACCTCTGGAAGAGAAGGAATTGTCATCATTTCAAAATGGAAATCATTCTGTTCTTTTGTTCAGTTAAGTTTCAACAAATTGAGTCTATTACTGTGTGGCTCTGATGTCTGTTTCTATAAAAGACAGTTAAAGGGTTAAGAAAAAGCAAACATTTAGCACTGTGTGGCCAAATTCAAATACAACGTATGTCATAAAATATCCCGTATTTATTTAACTTTTATAGACCATAATGTAATTGCACGAAATTATGTCTCTTTAAAGACACGGACGCATTCAGTACAAATCACTCCAGATGCTGTTCAGACTCCATCTCTAGGGAAAAACTGTATTGATTGCAAAGATACTTCAGAGAAGATGACACACACAAGATAAATTAATAACCTGTATAGTCACGAATTAATGTAAAAACACAGCTGCCCCCTAGTCTTCATTAAACATAGTTTTAAAAACATAATGACATACAGTATTCATAAGAAAACGTTCAAAATCTTCAGCAGTAAATATTTTCAAAATACTTTCTTGATCTGTATGTTCCTAACTTCATTATTAGTACTTAGATTGATATTGAATGTATATAATCTTCTAGAAAAAGATAAACGAACATACTATATGAGCAAAATGTACAAGGTATGTATTAAAACAACTGTGTGAGGATATCTGCACACCATTCCTGGTTTTCTTCACTCTAATTCCTGATTGCTTCATATCTTTAAACTGATAAGTTTATATAACTAAAAACTATAAAATGAAAGCGTAACACCTGAAGTTAGCCTTCTGCTAGGGTTCTACTGCAGTCTTCCTGTGCAGCTGACACACAGACCTGACCAGCCTCTGGACAGACAGCTGT